TTACAGGCATCACCTCCATACCTGCTTCTATTATTATTATTATTATTATTATTATTATTATTATTATTATTGCAGGGCTGGCAGTGGATTCCAGGGCTCCATACATACTAGAAAGCCCTTCACCCCTGAGGTACATCCTTAGACTTCTTTATCTTATTTCAGGAATCTTGGTAACTTGCCCAGGCTGGGCTTGAACTTGAGATATTTCTGCCTCAGCGTCATGGTACCGTGCTTTCCAAAACATTCTTGATGTTTCCTCCTAGAGCAGGATATGTCCCCCCACCTCCCCTGCACACTGTGAGCACTCGGGCTGGGTCCTCCTCTGGGGTGGGTGTCCTGGACACCTCAGGGTGCTGAGCAATGTCCCTGCCCTCCCCCTCTACCATATCAGGAGCTCCCCTCACCCCCACCGTGACAGCTACAAATGTCCCCAGACATCATTCAGTGTCCCCTGTGGCAGGATCACGGCTTCGAGGGTGCCGTGGACCCTCCAAGAGCCTGTGCCTCCCATAACAGACACTGCCATGTGCTCAGGGACACAATCTCCCTATATATGAAGCCAGGTGTGGCGATGGTGCACCTGTCATCCCAGCACTCTGGGAGGCTGAGGCAGGAGGATTACAAGTTCCAGTCCTGCCTGGGCAATTTAACAATTTAGAGTCTCTATCTCCAAATGAGTAATAAAAAGGGCTGGAGATGGAGCGCAGAGTGAAGGCCTTGGGTTCAAAACCCAGCAATGCAAAACTAGAATACAAAAAAAAAAAACTTACTGCTCTCGCCTGTGCTTTGTCTCTTTGGACTGCGTCCTGTCACTGTCACCACAGCATCCTTGTGAGCCAGCAGCATGTCCCCGCATGCCACACTCCGCATCCTGGCCCTCCTACAGGCAGGCTCTCTGACTCCCTCGCCCACAGGTGGTGGTGTCCCCTCCTCCTCCACAGACTGGCAGCAGGAAGTCAGGATTGTGATGCATCCACTCAGCGGTCAGTCCACAGGCTGCTGAGGCCCACCAGGCACCACCAGCTTGCTTGGGTTACCCGGCACCATCATGTGCCCCTGCAGGGCTGGGTTTGTTGTTGGAATGTCTCTGTTGAGGTCCAGTTCACACACCATTCCACCCACCCATGCATCCATCCATCCACCCCATCCACCTATCTATCCATCTACCCATCCATCCATCCACCTGCTCATCCATTCACCCTCCAAGACACAAAGTAATCCTTTCTTACTGTACTCACTCTCGTGCTCAACAGCCACCTCTGTCTATTTTCAGAACATTCCAGTAACCAGGTGAGGTAGCACATGCGTGTTATTGCAGCACTCAGGAGGCTGAGGCAGGAGGATTGCTTGGAGTTCAGAGACAGTCTAGGATATACAGTGAGTACAAAGCCAGCCTGCATTGCATAGCAAGGCCCTGTCTGAAAAAAATAGCAAAACCAAAAAAACCCCCAGAACATTCCACCTCCCCAAAAGGAAGCCACATCCATCCCTACGAAGTCACCCATCTCCTCAGCCCCTGGGACCCACAAGTCCACTTCCTGTCTCTGGGTTCCATTGTCCTGGGCGTTTCCTGTCTGTGGGGCCTACGCTGTGCGTCCTCTGTGTCTGGCATCTTTCACTGAGCATGGTGTCCTCAAGGCCCGTCCATGCCATGGAGAGTGTCACAGCCTCACTTCTTGTCATGGGTACCTTCCCCGCGGGGGATGGGCACCCTAGGATCTGTCCGCTCTCTGGGCGCTGGCTGCCTCCTGGCATCAGGCTCGCCGTGTGTCCAGTGCCCGCGTGTGTAGCTGTGTTTACCCTGTACTCGGCCTGACCTTCTGGTGCCCTCCATGGCAGCCACCCCGGGGCATGGCCACGTTCCTAGATATTTCTGGGGCCGCTGCCCCCCTTTCCAAGCCAGACTCAGCGGGTGGAAAACAAACGCAGCTGACAAAGTCGCCACGCCTGACTCGGCCGGGGATGAGGACGCTCCTCCCCCTGGGACACTGGACAGAGCTGGCCCTGGCCCCAGGGACTCCAGGGACCTGTCAATCCATGGCTGGGCCTCGGGGGTCGGTCTGTACGTGGAGCCCCGAGCGGGCTGAGCCGCTGTCCCCAGGAAGGCAGAGGACACAGAGGCAGGCTGGGTCACTCTCAAGGCCCCTCACCAGCCCCACCCCCGTGCTGATTCACCATGTCGCTGGAAACTTCTGCTTTTGGCCAGGCACTGCCAGCTTCCCCTGCTGACCTTGGTGTGTGACAGGCGCAAGGCAGGCCAAGGCCCCACAGCAAGGTCCCAGGAGGGTCACGGCACAGGGAGGCGACCTGGGGCTGAGCAGGCCATCAGCTGAGGCCAGGGAATAGCTCAGAACGGTGCAGCTGACCACTGTCCACTGTCAGTCCAGCTGCCAACAGATGCTGAGGAGCAGCATGCAGGTCACTTGTCAGAGTGGTCACGTGAGCAAAGGCCTTCGTCCCATGGGGCCAGTCAGGCCAGGCAGCCTGGGCTCCTGAGACTCTAATAGAAGGCTCGAAGGAACACAGGTGTCATCTGACGCTTCTAAAAGACCAGTCTGGCTGGGCATGGGTGCACACAGCTGTCATCCCGGCTACCTAGGCGGCTGAGGCAGGAGGGTCGCTGGAGCCTTGTGGGAGTGGGAGCTGCAGTGCCTGTCTTTCTGTGTCTGGCTCAGTTCCCTGAGTAGCATGGCTTCAAAGTCTGTCTTCACTGTAGCAGTGTCAGGATTTCCTTCCTTTTTAAC